TTCCAGCCAAACGAAAGACAAGCATATGAGTTGAATATTTACCTGAGGTAGATACACTCCTTGGAAAGAACAATCATGGGATAAAGAAGGGCTGTTTATTCACAGGGAGACAGCTCAGGGGGCAGGAGTGCATGGGAGGAGAAAGGACACAGAGAAGACATAACTATTGAGAGAAAGTGGGAGGGGAGCTGTTGCATTGGGGTAAATTGTAGTGAATGTCTTGAGACAAAGTGTATGTGAACTGTTGTATGGAAAGTGAATTTGCTCTGTAAATTTTCACCCAAATCACAATTAAAAAAAAAAACTCAGCTTCCTTGACTAGTACTTTAAACAGGGCTAATAAGTATCACCATGGCCATTGGCACAAAAGATGGAATTAAGGATTTTTAATCCAATCATTCCCATTTCACAAATATTAATTGAATGCTTTCTATGTGCAGGAGATATATTGTTGATGGTCCCTGTTCTCATGATATTTATGTCCTAGAAGAGAAGAGAGAGAATTAAAGAAACAAGATCATTACAAATAGTAATGGGCTCTATGAAGAAAATCAGAGGGAGCAAAAAGCTAAAGCAGGGTGATAGAGAAGCAAAAACCATTGTCTCGGGCATCCAGTGACACTAATGCCCTCTCATCTCCATGTATATCCAGTGGGGCTTGCCTTGGGCCAGCATTGACAAAAGGCCAGTTTCCCTGCTGGGTACTGGATCCACTGAAGATGCAGGTGAGGTACAAGAAAGAAAAGGAAGGGGTATCTTCTCCCATCCCAGGGTCCTGCCTGGGATGTTCTCTGTCTCTCCTCAGGTACTCTCTTAACTGGACAGTAAGCTCAGAACAAGGCTGTCCGCAGCAAGCAAGACTCACTCTCAGTAGTTACCTAGGTGGAGAGAAAGGGAAGTAGAAAGAGCATGCTCTCTGACTGACCTGTCCTATTTTTCAGGTGCTGCTGATAAAGCTGGAACTCGAGAAAACCAGGTTGGCTGGGGTTTGCTTTCTTCCTGGGGAAGAAGGAAGGCCATAGGCTAGAGCCACCTTTGAGTTGTTCCCTATTAAATTGGCTAGGACTTTATTTTGTAAGAACATCCTGGAAGTTCTGAGGTTTTTCTACTCACAGGCTCCTTCCATTTGTAGACCTAGGAAAGCTTTGCCCCAGGGCCTGTCTTCAACTAAGGAAACTGAGTCTTGCTAGGGCCATTTTTCTTCACTCCACAGGAGACAGAGGGTCATGATATCAAAGCTCAGTAGGCAGCTGAAAGGAGCTGCCAAGCAGGACTATTCACCTAGGCCTCAGACTCCGCAGCCACCCCAGACACCTTTTCAGCACTCAGATCACCTGGAATCAGGAGCTTAGAAGCTTAAGAGTATGTCCTTGAAAAACAGCCAACCAGCTCCCAGCCAAGCCCAGCCTGGGCCTCTGCCTTAATAGCTTAGAGGGATCCTCCCTAGTCTTTGAGTTTCCTAATATGTCTCTATTGGCAGATTCGCCTGCCTTGTCTTATCTCATGTTAGGCTCCATCACTACAGCTGTTTGGCCACAGTGAGAAATCACAGCTGCACAGTGCTTGATGGTTTGCAGGGCAGTTTTATATCCATCACCTCATTTGATTTTCAAACATCTCTGTGAAGGATGCCAGACAGGGATTCTTATAATCTCCATTTTACAGTTGGGGAAATAAGGCTTGGAGGCATTACATTTGGCTGGGGCTACATAGCTAAGAAGTGGCAGAGCTACAAAATCATATTACCCTTTAGTAGAAATGTGTTCACTAGCATTCCAAGGCAGGGGAGAGGGATCAGAATTTGGATACAAAAGGAGACTATATACCAGAGATGGAAACTTGAGAACCTGTGGCTAAGCAAGCAGCCATTATTCACAGTGACTACTCTCTATCCTTCTCATCCTCCTAGCCAGCTGTGGTGCATCTACAGGGCCAAGGGTCAGCAATTCAAGTCAAGAATGGTAAGAGTCAAAGTAGGCTCTCTCCCTGAGAAGAACTTCTCCCCTTCCTCACCTCTGTTGTTGTTATTTGCCGTCGAGTCGACCCCGACTCATAGTGACCCCTCCTTTGGTTTCCGAGGCAGTATCACTATGGAAGTAGGATTGCCCAACCTTCCTTCCGAGGAGTGGCTGGTGGGTTTGAACCGCCAGCCTTCTGGTTAGCAGTCAAGTGCCTTAGCCACTATGCTACCAGAGCTCCTCACCTCTAGCCTCCAAATGATCACCCAGCCTAGTTCCTCCTAAGCCCCTAAAATACCCTTGGCATGGGCAGCCTGCCCTCTGCTGGCTGTCCTGAGTAATTGCTTGTACCAAGACCAACACAAAAAATTGCATTTAGAATCACTTGATGATGGAGCAGAAAGGAACTTAAGACATCACTTAGCCCAGGGAATTTGCGAGAGGGAAATGTGAAGATGATTATATCAGAGTTGCCAGGGAATGTGTGTAGTTTGATAAACATTCACACAGTCCAAATTAAAGAAAGTAAAGCTACATAAAATCAAATTCTTGTCTGATGGGTCTACACAGAATATTGGGGGTGGGGCGTGGCTTCTCTCTGGGGTTGGGAACATGTTAGAACCTCCAGGGATTAAATATGTTCTCTCTTTTGATAGACACTAGTATTCCATTTCAAACAGATTTAATAAGGTTCCGAAACACTGATTTAATGTAATCCCAGCATTGAAAAGATGGGGGAACAGAGTCCCAGAAAGATTGCATAATACTGTAATAAACCATACTGTCTTATATTTGTATGGTACTTTAGAGTATTCAACATGCTTTCTTTGTCTTGTATTTCGTTCAATCCTCACAACAACTCTATGAGGTAGATATTACCTCCTTTTTATAGAGAAGCTCTGAGATGTTAACTTACCCAAGATTTCATAATTCTTGAAATGTGGGAGCTAGGATTGAAAAGTACTGCTGTCTGACTCTTCCCACTACACTATACTACTTCAGTGATGTGTATACACTCCACTGAATGACTAGGTTTGTTTTCTTTCCCAAAGAGACTTAAACAGAGCTTTGAAATAATGTCTAGTCCCTATGGTAGACAAAACCAAAAATCCATGAAATCCCATGAGCTTTGGGAAGCAGCAATCTAACCAAGATGCCAGATGCTTACAGAGCTTGGAATTGAAAGAAGGGACTGTGAGTGTAAAAACAGTAAATAAAGGTTAAGAAACCTGCTACATGGTCCTAGCTTCTAAGATCCCAGTCAGTGTTGAACCAGCTGTTCTGAGCTTCCCTAATGATTGGGTTTAGCTACTCCCCTGACTAAAAGCTTGAGAAATGTAAATAGAACAGAATGGTCCCAACACTCAAGCAATCCTTCTGGGACCAGGTGTCATGGGTCCCAGGGCACTGAGTGGGCCATGCTCACCATCTGTCCAGGGAGAACTGAGACAGTCAGGAAATAGATTTGTTTGGGTGTCTAGTGGGTGGCCTCAGCATTTATTCAGTGCCAGCAGCTGTTAAATTTGCTAGCATTACCACATAACAAGATTGTTTCCAACCCCTCTGGGTCCATCCCTAGCAGCAGCCTGGGCTGGTCTTTAGTTGCACGAGGAGCAGAAGTGAGGGAGTCACATGGGAGGTTGTCACACAAAGCAGTCCACAGAAGTGGGGGATCCAGGACATCCCCTTCTATGTATCTATGTATCACCTCTAGGGAAGATGGCCACCTTTTCCAGAAGGACTATTTCCTCACACCTCAGAGAGACAGGTCTCCTGAGACTGGCAAAGCACGGACATTCAAAACATAATTTCTTGGGTGAAGACTAGATGGTTTAGAGGAAGAAAGTCCCCATGGGCTTCTCTTCTCTCCTCTCTCAGTGGGAAGGAACATCCCTCTTCCTGCAGAGTAGAAAGGGAAGTCTCCCCGTGTTCCATGCATGATGGCTCCCACCATGACTGGGGTGGGAATAAGAAACAAATGCTTTGGCAAGGGTGCCTCAGCTCCCAGACACCCTCTCCTATATTGCTGGATAGTTCTAGTGTGGCTTTGCAGTTTATTCCCCACTCTCATAAAGATTCCTCTCACCTATATTGCCTTGTTCCTGGTGAGCACTCACACTGGCTATCCCAGAGTCTGAATCATTCCTGATCCCTAAGGTTCTTTCAGATAGGCAGTTTATTGTGCTGAGTGGTTTTACTGGGGGCCCATGAAGACTTTCCAGAAATGAATGGGTGTGGAAAAACCATGGAAAGTAATCTCTTAAGGCGAAAGGAGAAAACCCATGAACCTATGAGACAGGAGAGATTGAAGAGCTACAGCTAGGAAGGTAAAATTGAATAATAAGACCTAGCCTGCCATTCACTGTCTGAATTTTGCCTATAATAGCCCGAGAACAACAAAAAAGATAGGGCAGCATGCCCACTCTCCTTTTACCACCCTCCCCCAAAAAAATTACAGCTAGAAAGTATTGGTTAAAGATCCTTCCCGATAGAGGGGTCACGAAACGAGAGAGGATAGTTGATATGGGGCCTGAGACAGACCTGGCAGCTGCTTTACAAACAAAACACCTTCCCTGCTTCCAAATGCTGTCCTTAAACCTTGGCCTTCTGGGATGTCCCAGTTACAGTGGGATGTTGTGTACTGTTTGCTATTTGTTATTTGTTGTCCAGATCATTCTGACATGTACTGAGTGATTGCCCTTCTCTCATACTGAGATCTTTCAGGTGGAGTGCTCAATGACTGGTCTCGCATCACTATGAACCCCAAGGTGTTTAAGCTACATCCCCGCAGCGGGGAGCTGGAGGTACTGGTGGACGGCACCTACTTCATCTATAGTCAGGTAGAAGTGAGTACGGTCTTAGGCCTAACTCTTCTTATATCCATAATGCAGATCCAGTGCAAGCCACATAGGGGCACTGTGGAGCCAGTCAAGACTAGCCAGTGGCTAACTTCCTGCTTTGGCAGAGGGAGCTGCATGGGCAAGACTGCACTGGGAGGGAGTTGAAAGGAAGAAAAAGAGAGGAAGTGCTTTGGGATTTTTTCCCTAGTCAGGTATCATTGAAAATGTGTGCAAAGAGCACCCCACCTCCCCATACATTGCTATCCATTCCTTCCTGCAGGGCCCAAGGGTGGGTGGATTTCCCCTCTGAACTGTTTGGTTCTACTGCCAAACATGACTTAGTCTCAGTAGGTTCTTTGAAAGTCAATTTTGTTGAGAACCCCTCCCCCTAACACTATTAGCTGGGGCATTATAATGTATAATGTATAATGTATAATGCTCCTGTGGACTTTCCACCTCAAAAAAATTTCTGACTGTCTTTCCTTCCTCTTTCTCCCATTTTTTTCTTTATTTTTCTGTTTCTCTACCCTTCTTACCTCCTTTCTGCTATCATTCTCCCAGCCCTCTTCTCCCTCTGTTTTTGTCCTTTTCCTGTTCCAGGCCCACTTCCCAGTTCTACAAATGCTAATTCATTTCTACTCTCAGTTATTTGCCTCCACTTGGGTGGCTCCTGAGAGCTAGAGGTAAATGAGCCTTGAGGTTGGGCCTTCTGTGGGGCAGCAGCAAGCAAGTGATGAATAGAAATGTTACAGATCTAGCAGGGGGTCTCACAGGACAATGGCCAGAAAAGGTGGACTAATGAGCATTTGCATCCTGGCATAGTTTGGGTCCTGACCCAAGATACTGTATGGCACCTGAATACACTGCTTCCTTCTGAAGAGCCTATGGAGCAAGTGGCCTTTCATAAAATGATCTAAAGTCCCAATCCTCAGAGAGCAAATGGGTATATTCACAATGTCTTATGAACTAAGCTTTATTTGAGATGGGAGTTAAAGCTAGAGGTGGGGTATGATGGGTAGGGGTATTGTAGGATGCAAAAATTAATTTTCTGGGTCTAGAAGAGAATTGGGCATGGCCTCAAGCCTTGGACACCATGCCAAAAAAAAACCACTGCCATCCAGTCAATTCTGACTCATAGCAACTCTATAGGACAAAGTAGAAATGTCCATAGGATTTCCAAGGCTGTAAATATTTACTGAAGCAGATTACTTCATCTTTCCTCCATGGAGTGGCTGGCAGGTTTGAACCTCTGACCTTATGGTTAGCAGCCAAATGCAGGCTGGGAAAATCCCCATGAGGACAGGCCAATGAGCATAGGTTAGTGTTTCCTTCTGGGAAAGAAGTGAAATTAGGGACCTGGGCTTTCCCCTTCTAAATTCTTTATCTCATTTGGTGAATAGCTCTCCATTTCTCTGGATCTGTTTCCTCACTCATCACACAAGAGGGTCAAGGGGCATCGTGAAAATTTATGAGAGCAGTTCAGCTGTGAAGGGATGGGGGAGAATAGGCAAAGGGATCCAAGCTGAGTGAGGTTTCCTTAAAACCAAAACTCACCAAATCACTGCCATCAAGTCGATTCTGACTCACAATGACCCCCCCCCCATTGGGTTTCCTAGGTAGTAAATCTTTATGGAAGTAGATTGCCCCATCTTCCTTCTGCGGAGTGGCTGATGGGTTTGAACTGCCAACCTTCTGGTTATCAGTCAAATGCCTTAGACACCACACCATCAGAGCTCCAGAAATTGCAAGTTGTTACTGGAACTTGCTAATCATTGACTTCTAAGTTTATACACAAATACTCCTTGGGTATACTACATCAACTTCACTGACTTTGCTAGCTATGAGGTGGTGGTAGATGAGAAGCCTTTCCTTCAATGCACACGCAGCATCGAGACAGGCAAGGAGTTGAAACTGGAAGTTAGTTAGTGTTTGTTTGTTTCTGTAGCACTGATTGAACCCCTAACATGTATAGAGTACTATGCTTCATGCTACAGCTAGGCAGGGTAGGAGGTAAACAGGAAGGTAAAAAAAGGGGGGGATGGGTGGGTGGAATAAGGCATGGTTCTTGCCTTCACAGAGCTTACAACAGGTGTATTTTTGTAAGAAAGGTCTGCTCAGCCACTGCGCTCCATGGAAGGGGAAAGGGGAAGTGCATAGCCTATCATTCTGTCCTTCCCATTGCCCAACTAGCACATGCTCGTGTGGCACCACCCCCTTCACAAGGTATACTGGCAGCTCATCTGAAAAGGTCTTGTCCTCATCAGGAGGGTCTCTACCCTCTCTTTCCTCTCTCCCCCAATCCCTTCTTGTTCCTCTCACACAGGTATACTACATCAACTTCACTGACTTTGCCAGCTATGAGGTGGTGGTGGATGAGAAGCCTTTCCTTCAATGCACACGCAGCATCGAGACAGGCAAGACCAACTACAACACTTGTTATACAGCTGGTGTCTGCCTCCTCAAAGCCCGGCAGAAGATTGCAGTGAAGATGGTACATGCTGACATCTCAATCAATATGAGCAAGCACACCACCTTCTTTGGGGCCATCAGGCTGGGTGAGGCCCCTGCCTCCTAGATGCCCCCTGTTCTGCCCCTGCCCATGCCCCTGCCCCAAGTTTGGGAGCCAGGACTCCCAGAGCCTCTAAGTGCTGTTATGGAGTGAGGTATATTGGTGTTGCAGCCACAGAAAGAAATGCCCCAGTGCTATTTATTCCCAGTGACTTTAGGATGACAAGGCCTGCTTGACTCTCCAGAATGACCTTGAGTTTACAGGACAGTTGATGGAGCCCAGGGTTTACATGAAGCAGAATCTTCTTCTTTGGCTCCTTATTGACTGGCTTATGGCATGACTCTTCAACCATGAGGTCCCTATGGTCAGATTCATCATTCATTGCATTAAAATGAGGGTCCAGGGCAGCAGGCAAGAGAAAGCAAAGGTGCACTGCAGTCTCTAGAGTGAACATCTGACCCCAGGGAAGCTGCTGCTTCAGGGGCACACCAATAGTAAACAGAAGCTGGAGCAGCCGTGGCTCCTATCCTGAATGATAATGGAAGTAGGGAGTGAAAGGAGTGTTGCAGCCAAAGGAGAAGGACAGGGAAGGAAATGAAAATGCTTGTGGCCAAGACCAGAGAGAAAACTACTAGTGGTGCATCCTGGGCGGTGGAAGCATTCTTGCTGCTCCGAGTTGTAGCCTCCAAGAGAGTCAAATGATTCTTCCCACTCAGGCTGAGAGTCACACTGTGGGCAGCTTTTTGGGCTTTGGAGACAGGAGGTTTGTTCTTCCTTTGAACCACTGCAGGGAATGGCCATAAACATGCCTGCATCAGAACCCAAATCCATACTTAAGGCTACATGCCTTTCACTTTGTTTGCAGCTATGCTCCATACTCAGAAACTTCCCTGGGGTCCCTTCCCAATCACCCCTTTCCCTGCCTGACTAGAGCTCCTGTCTTCTATCTCAACAGAGCCTACCTCTGTCTGAGACAGGTGCCTAACCTCGGACCTCTGTTTATGTGAGTCAGGGATACTCTTTAGCTTACCTGGACACAGAGAGAATTTTCCATTTATAAGCAAACAGATATTCATCTAGTCGAGTCAGGTCTGTGAGAAAAAGGTAGGGCGTTTTCCCCTACCTTTACCTGTGGGAAAAAGGTAGGATGACTTCCAGAAGTCCCTTCAAGTTCTAGTATTTGCAGCTCTAAACAGGCAGCTGCCATAATAACCTACTAAACCTCCCAATCCCTAGACTGCCCTGGGTATGAGCAAGGCAGAGCTTTTCTACCTGGCCTTGAAAGAGCAAGCAGTGGAGGATAGGACAAATATTTTATTTGTTTACTTGCTTGTTTTTTTCCATGTTTGCTGCAACCTGAGTTGTCATTAGTTTAGTTCTTATCTGAAAGGACAGCAGCTGGTGCCCTACTGACTGGCTTCAGAAAGCCACCATAAACCATAGTCATCACAGATTCCCTGGAATCCAGGCTCAAGAGAAGCCTACTTCAGGCACTGGACAGGATTCTTCCCCACAGTTCAGGTCCAAAGGCACAGGACCCCCGCCCTAAATTTCCCACCAATTTATAAGGTAGGCTTTATTTCTAACTGAGTCCTTACAGGCTGTTCCTCTGCCTACACCCAGCCTGGCTTCTGGGTGCTAAGTCCAGACAAAAGCTGGGAGGGCCAGCCTTTACAGTCTGCTGCTCTTGTCCCTGAAACATGTTCCCCTTAGAAAAAGGGGGATAAATTTATTTAGGCAGTTGACATCCACCAAGAACAACAGGTGCTTATTTCTCAGCTGTGCCTTCCCATTCTAAGCAGCCACACTGCTTGGCCCCTCAAGGATCGGGGCAAGAGATGTTGGGATATGCCCTCATTGTCTTTTTGCTAATGATGACCTTTCTGTAAGCATATGTCTGGCCCCAATTCCTTACAAATGCCTTGAACAGTCATCAGTTTTAGCAAGAACTGATGAGAACCTCTTTTTAAAATTGCAAAGTACTTCCTCTTTTATTATTCCTTTGAAGAAGGCAAGGCAGATAATATTACAAATGCCATTGTCTAGACGAGGTTCAGAGACATTAAGTGATTTAACCAAGATCTCCCCCAGTTTAAGTCACAGACCTGGGGCTTCAGCCATGTCTGGCTCCAAAACTAGTACTATTCCATTATACCATAGCATTGTGCTGGATTTAGGGATCTAGAAAGATCCAATGAAAGTGGTAACATGAAACCAAAATCTTTGACAGTCCAATGAAGAAACCCAGAGATTCTCATTTTCATTTTTTGATGTAGTGCCTGTTCTCTTGACTTCCCTGGGATTTTGTGGGAAAAGAGCAGGATATTTTTTGGGGAAATAGCCATCAGCCTTCAAGCTGTTCAGAAGGATTTTCTTGGCATCATGTCCAAGCAGTAGTCTTCTAAACCAGTTGCTATCAAATCCATTTCAGCTCATGGCAACCCTGTGTGTATCAGA